AGATGTCTTTAAAGCCAAAAAGAGTTAACCGTTTCTTGTCAAGATGGGTAATGGATTTAGGGAAAGTCTCAAGGGGCGATAAAGACTAAGTAAGAATTTACCAAAAAGATAGAGAAAAGGATGCTGCATGCAGGTGAACAGCATGTACTCAAGCACAAAAGTTTGAGAAAGAATGTGGGTCTCTCTGACTACAGATGACTGACAGTTGCTGGACCACGCAGTACAAGGATCTTCTGCTTCCCGATGTTCCCGTCCATTCCTTCTTCTGTCTGTAGCCGGACCTGCCATTTCTGCACACTGGAGTGCATAGTGTTTTTGGTTAATGGGAACCTTATGTTTTTGATAGGACCTTGAAAACAGAATTTTTGACCTGAGCACCGTGGACAGTCTGTACAGATTTCTTGGTCGTGGGCAGACATCCTGAGGACTAGGGCACTTCGGGATTCTGCCTACCACCAGTCTTTCAGTTGGACCACCCTCTGACTTGTGGCAAAGAAAAATGTCTGCTGGCATTACCACATGTCCCACGGAGAGGGGAGTCGCCTTCCAGTTCATGATAACTGTGTCAGGTACCCCTGATCACAGAGTCAGGTTAATACTGGTAAGGGTCGCAACACTATTAGATGGAAGGAATATAAGAAACAAAATCCATTATGTTTAAAAGAAAAAAAAAACTTTACGGATATAACCAAGTGTATTAAGAACCAAATAAACACAAACCCAGTGAGACTGAATTTATTGGGTAGTAAATATGCATGTTTAGACCTCCCTAAACATATGGAAGAATTAGGTAGTAACCCAATTTAAGTCAGATATGGGGCACATACCACTGCAGATTTATTTTTTCACATTGTTAATAAGCTCTTTGTTTACAATTCCACCAGTGTTTCAAATGAGATGTCTGCTCTTATGCATTGTCAAGCATTTAAGAAGTTTACCAAACTACTTGATATTTTATCATTAGTTCTATTTGACCCCAAGGCTATTTGTAACTAAATATAGATAAATTTGAGAACCAGAATCATAGGGTTAACATTTGTGCCTTAAAAACAGTGCATATTTTATACTTTATATAGTTGTAGAAGAAAAAAGAGGTTGTTGCGTTTTTTTGTTTGTTTGTTGGTTTGGTTTTTTTTTTTTTGGCTAATCTATGTAATTTAGATTTAAACATTACTTGACTGTTTAAAGTCCTAAGTTTTATATGCAAAAGTAGGTCACTTAGGTGAATTTAAGAGTCATCCTATTCAAATGGTCAGTGTGGATTCACTCATACCTCACCAGGTAGGACACAAAGATAGTTACGCCTCACTGGGGTATTGGGGATTTCTCTGCACACCCCTCCTAAAAAAAAATGTTTTGTACCTAAACTGATAACACATGTCTTGCTAGAGTCATAAGCCAGTTCAGACCATCCGGAAAACAACCAAGTTCAGCAAAATCATGCTTCAACACTATAAACAGCTAAATACTAAAATGAAAATAGACATGACACAGCTGAATAGTAACATATAACCATTTTGAGGTGAATAGAACCTGGCTGTCTCCAAGACTGTGTTTCAGCAGCAAGTGGAAGTGAATGTGTGGAGGTGCTGGGAAACTGGAATCTGAAGAAAGGTTGGCTAAGGTTTTTTTCTTCTTGTTTCTGTTTCCAGGAGAGTTTCTGGAGGTCAGTCTCTCTTTCACTTTTCAAGTGTGAGGCCAAATGATTATAGGCGTTGCCACAAAAGAAGGCAGTGATGGATTTCAGAGAAATAGATGAGGAATCAACAGATAAATCCACCCTGGAGACTGTGCAGGCTCCAATCTAAGCTCCACTTTCAATCCAGTTCCCTGCTGGTGACCTGAGAAAAAATGGAGGCGCATGGACCCAGTGGGATGACCCAGCCATTAAAGTCCTTGCCCTGAATATACCTGAATCCCACATGGGTGCGGTTCCAATCCCAGCAGCCCCGCTTCCCATCCAGTTCCCTGCTTGTGACATGGGAAAGCAGTTGAGGACAGCCCAAAGCCTTGGGATCCTGCACTTGCATGGGAGACCTGGAGGAAGTTCCTAGCTCCTGGCTTCGGCTCTGTGCAGCGTTGGCCTGTAGCAGCTGCTTGGGGAGTGAATCATCAAACCAAAGATCTTCCTGTCTCTTGCTTTCTGTGTCTCTGACTTTGCAATAATAATAAAATAAGTCTTCACAAAAAAGTTGAAAAGATCGAAGTGCTTGGGCCCCTGTATTCACATGGGAGACCCGGAGAAGGTTCCGGACACCCGAACTTGGATTGGCCCAGTCCTGGTTGTTTTAGCCATTTGGGAAGTGAACCAGAAAATGGAAAATTTCTGTCACTCCTTTCTCTGTAAATCTATTTTTCTTTCTTTGTTTTTTTTTTTTTAATTTTGACAATCTTTACACAGTAAATTAGGGTAAAAATGTTCAAGGGCTACAGGAAAGTGGGTAAGACTAGTATTTTTTCCATATTGTTTCCTTCATCTTTAAAGGGGGGGTATTTAGGGAGAAGGCCCACCCAATTTCCCACCCTCCTCAGGTGTAACTTTATTTTTCAAATCGAAAAATAAATTTAAAAAATAGTAACCCATATATGTGTTTTTCCTTATTATATGCCTATAAAACTTGGAGGTGGTAGCCAGAGTGACTTAGCCTTATTTGTGTAGTGGTGGATGTCCAGTGCCTTGGATCCTAAGGAATGGATTACAGCATGTACGTGAGCTACACTGAGAGAAAGGGGGCTATTATGATGCCTGTGTACCTACCTGAACAAGCTTGGGGTTCTCCTCAGTGAACCTGTTTTAGCATACTTAAGTTTGATGTCGCTGATCGCATTACAAAATTGACTTTCTTTCTCTCTGTCACACACACAAACATACACACACACTACATGTAAACACACATGAACTTAGCAGTGAAACCATAAGCGAAAAAAAGATCATGGAGAAATTGTTCCTATATGAGGAAAAAAAACAATTTATCTTAGAACTAAATAATCACTCAAGTGTATGGGTTGTAGGCATCCATTGCTGAATTTAGACTAAACAGGAAGTGATGTAAATTATACTTATTACACTGCTGGGAGAGAAATATATTAAATCCAGACAGCACAGGGAGAAAGCACAAGGAGTTCATTGTGTAGAAGAAAACCATGTAACTTTGGGGGAAGACAATGTACTGTATAGAACGAAAACTCTCAGGGCCCACTTGGGATTCAATCATTTTTTAGGGAGCATGATTTTGTTCCAGTACTGCTTTTTTTGTTTAAATAAAAACTTGATAGTATTCTAATCTTAAACACATTGCTGTTTTTGCACTTTATTCTTTGCTATTGCTTCAATCATTACATTGGACAAAATAAGCAACAAGGAAACCATCACTGTTTATGTTAGATCTCCTAGCTGTGGTTATAGAGTTAGAATTAAGATGAGATTTGAGGAAGTTACTCAATTTACTAGTCCCTATAAGCCCAGCTATTGTTGAAACATCCAGTTTCTCTTGGTAGAAGAGATACTGACCAGTTACCTTGTGAGTACAACACCATCATGGGATCTTCCCTATGATCTTTGCCCTGCTAATCTATTCATATCTCAAAGGCATCTGGGGTGTACTGAAGAACAAATGAAAAAACAAGGGTGGAGAGCTCAGTGTGTTGCTTGTGTTTCTAAAGAGAACTGTCAGAAAAATAGATCACCGACATATAAAGGTGATGGTCAACTTGCTGTTTTATTAGAAAACCATTTCCAAATTAAATTCATTGAAAGTCTTAGCTACAGTCATGGAAGCAGAGTTACACTTCAGATGGGTGTAGTACAGGATAGATTTTTCTGATTTATGGGTTCCGGCTGTCACTGTATTATTTCTAAAATGGTATGACTAAAATCTTGACAAATAATGTAGTAAAAACTTATGCAAGGTCTCTAGCCTGTTTCCAAGGAAACTCAAAACCATTCAGCGAGTGGGCTTCGATGGAAATGGAGTGTAAGCCACAGCTCCCATGGTTCTCGCCAGTGACAAAAAGCAAATCAAATGTATTTGTCTCTGACTTTTAGAAGATATTAAACGGCATGCTGCTTTGCTGAATAGGAAGCATGAAGTTTGTTGGCTTACACTCATATTTATTTGTGCATAAATAAATACTGTATTTATTGAATGTTATTGTGACACTCATGACTCTGAATTCTTCCTCTCATCTCACCCCATTCATCATCTGCCATCCCTTCTCCATCTCCTTCATCTGTACTGTTTGGTGGTGAAAGATGCAATTCTTGGAAACATACTCCCCAGAAGAGTCACCTAAACTCGGTGCCAGAGTTTTTCTCTTTGTAAAGTTAGGATAATAATAGAATCAAACACAGGAATTTTGAGGTGAGTAGGGGGACTGAATGTAAGACTTGAAATATTGCTATGCATCTGGGAATTACTCTAATATTATTTGTCATTGATCCCCATTCTATATAATTACCAATAGTGTTGATGACTGTTTCCTTTATAGAAGAGATTTTTCTAGATTTGCGATCAAGTAATGCTGTAAATGACTAACAGGTTTTTCAATAATTACTAACTTTGGCAAAAATAATGCACTTGTCAATGCACCCCCCAACCAAAAAAAAACCCTTCAAAACCTACACACATTTCACCAAAATCTTAACATGTGCTAACTGGGTCATGCTACATTTAAAAGATACAAAAAAAAACTGAAACAAAAACAAACTTTAGTTCATCAAGTTCAATTCTAGGCTGCGGAAGGTGTATCTTTCCTATTACTGTAGGTTTTGAACCACTTTTTAGTTTTAGTTGTTAATAAGATACAATTAGAAATCATTCCTTTAATGCTGGCTGCTTCAAAATAAAAAATTCCTTTTTGGTTGTACAAATTCTTATTCTTGTTTTAAGTGACTATACACAAATGGTAAAACTTTCTGTAACAAAGATTTAATTAGAATGGTTAATAACTATGATTTCCAAAGTGTCCGAATCAGCTATAGTAATGATTAGGGAGTGTTGTTCCATACAAAATGCTTTATTTAACCTTCATGCCTTCATTCGGATAATTATACAAATGCATACAGTTAAAGGTTTAAACTCTATTTCAGTTCACAGCTCAATTCATAGGAAAGTTGAATACAGAAAAGCAATGCACCAACAGAATATGTCTGAGACACCATTAGAAACGGTAACACTTGTTCATTTCAATCTCTGAGAATAGACTGGAATAATCATCCTCTGAGAGAATCTCATTAGGAGGGTCTCCCTTTACATTATCATAGGGCAAAAAAAAAATCACCATTTTACAGTAAAAGGAAAAAAAGCTCTGAGTATATTTACAATACATACACTATACATAAATACAAGAACAACACTTACATAATATTAATAAACTTATAACGGGTTGCCTACATACTATCGCGTATATAAATGCAGAGGAAACTATTGGGAAATCAGATTTTAGATAAGCTGGAGAAATAAATTTATTTGCAATTAAAACTCTGAATAGAAAACCAAATGGAGATTTAAGAACTCAATACATTTGCTCGCTAGCATTATTGGGGGCCTTTATCCTTTCAAGTGTAAGATCTCCTCCGGGCACTCACGTTCTCTGGGGGTCACAGTCAACAGTCAACTACAAGATGACATCAGCAAAGGGAATCTGATGCAGCTCATCTATTCGATTTGTTCAGAGGCTTCAAGCCTAGAATAACTGCTTTGTAAACTGAAGGATGCTCTTGTATTTTTCAACAGATCTTGTGATCCAATCACCATGTATAATGAGCTAAGTGTCAAGGAAATGAAAAAAAAGATTCCTGCTTGAATTGGCCAATGATGGTATTTTTCTTTACTCCCATGTATTTTTTTTTTTCCGAAATGGACTGAGATTATTCAAAAGACTGTGACATTTGAATTGACCCACATGCACCAAAAGCAATGTCTAGACTACTACTAATTATAACTAAGTCATTTTAAGTGGCAGGTTGGTATCTTAACGGTGGTCTGTTCTTTCACAACACAGAAATTTGAGTATATTCTTCTAGACAAACATGAATTTGCTGGTTTCTCTCTCTCTTTTTAAATGATCGTGATACATATAATTGCATTGTGATGCAGGATGACGTGATACATGAGACAATGTTTTCTAGCTGGTTCTGTAAGTAGTTATCTCATATCCACAGAGTTGCTTTGCCATGTGATGCAATGTGTCGCACACAGACATGAACAAAACAATACAGCCATCGACCCGTGGAAGAACAGTGATTTATAAAAATGAAGCTCTGAACACAACGCATTGTGGACGGACAAGTTGATAGGAAAGAGCCTTGAATTCAGGCACCAGTGCCCCAGTTCAACCATACCCTTCAGATGTAATAAGGTTTGGGCAACAAAATATCTACTGTAGTCTGCATGTAACCACAAAATCCTGCCATAGGCAAACCAGAAACACAAATAAGGCAAAGGCATGTTCTGTAATGGTTTATGACATCTTTAGGACGTGAAATGCGCAGAAAGGGAAAATACTGGTATAGCTCTAAAACATCTTAATTTTTAAAATCATTTTTACTGCTGAATTTTGGACCTTAACTCTCCTGATTTCACTCTCAATTTTAAACCAAAATCTTGGTCAACCTGCTTTGGGGAAAGCAATACAATTAATTCATATAGGAATCATTGGTTTTTCCCATTGCCCACAGGGCAAAACCCAAACATGGTGGTCTCAAATGCTTCAGATTTTTAGAGATAAAATCCAAAAAGACAAAGTCTGGGTGTGAGTGGGGCCACTCTTCATCTCTTTCCCATTCACTTAAAGTTGTTGCTATCATTGAAAATGACTGCTTGTGAGACCAAGGGGGCTGAGAAGGGCTGCCGGAGTGGGCAGTCAGTGCTGACCAGGACAGTTGCTTCAGCAGGGAAGAGAGTTTGTTTATCCAGGTTTTATCTCTTCCCTCAGCCATGTAATGGGAAGAAAGATTGTAACTCAAGAGACTCATTTTCAGCAATAGAAACACTGTGAGAAATGACATTCCGAATGTTCTCTAAGCCCGTTAGCACCTCCATGAATCAACGCTGTCAGAGACGTTACTCCACAGAGCATAGCGGGGAAGGATTTCATTTCTCTGATGCTGGGCAACATAACATTCAGTTAAACTAACAACATCCTAAACAAATTAACTTTAAGACTACTTAAGACATCCCACAGTGGTGCAGTTAAGTGAGAAATAGGAAAAGGAATCATTCATCGAGGTTTTCCTTTTCCTTCATCGAGGTTTGCGATTGCCAGCCCACTCAACACTGCAGGAGTGAACTTCACCTTCCACTCCCTCCATGAAGGTGGACATTCGTAATCCATCTTCCATGGACTCTAGCAGGTCTGCAGGGGTGGACAGGTACTACTATATACACATATGCGGTACCAAGCCAGAGGTACAACTTAGAAAACCAACTGATGATTTGGATGATTCTGAAGCTCCAAGCCAAGCATTTAGCGCAAAAGGGACAAGTGCTGGGAGAAACCTAGTTGTTGGCTGCCTGCTTATAATCATCTTGCATGTATGAATTCCTAGGCTAAGCTCAATTTAAAATAGGCTGTGCCATTGTCTCATCAAGTGTTATACCACATCCCAGCATTGTAACTACTCATGCATGGTCCCCATGAGCCACTAGGTCTCTGAGATGTAGAAAGGTGTCTGGACCACATGGGTGATGTGCTACACTGGAAAGGATACTGAACCAGAGAGAAGCGGCTTCCCATTTTACCTCTGTTTTTCACTATTTGTATCCTTACATAACGCAGTCACCCCTCTCCATGCCTCAATCTCCCATCAATGAAATGCAGATTAAGATAAGGTGCCTAAAACAGGCCAACTTCATACTCGGCACATGGTACATGTTCAATTAAAAATAAGCTATTATTTTCTTGTTTTTTTTTAAACTCTTCAAGGTATTTTAGTACTTTAAGACCACATTCGGGGAAAAATAAAAAAGCCAGTCAGAAAAATCAACTTCAATGAGCTTAGGGGACTCAGCAGTCTTCCTGTGACACTGTAGGTTATTTTGCATCCCATCCTGGTACGTTTCCATCTAGACTTTTTCTTTTCTGAAACCTGGAGGAGGAAAGAGTAAGTGGATCCTTGGACCTCTGGTCCAGGCCTGGGGAATACTGTCCATCATGGTCAGAGCTCGCCATCGAAAGCCTGAAAGTGTCATCACAGCCACAATGCTGAAATTGCTCTGACCAAATGTGTGGCTGCCAGGCAGTATAATTTCCTGACAGCCTCAGTGGCTTGCCTGGGCGACTTTGTGCTCGGAGATGGCAGGACTGGAGGATTTCCGGGTTCCTCTTAATTCACATCATCTTTTTGCATATTTCTATCCATGATTCCACTTCGAGCAGCAAAATTATGGAAAAAAATTGTGAAACAGTCTGAATGCAAACCTGCTACTTTTCAGGACTCGCTGCAGGATTAGTGGTTAGTTTCACCACCAGCAGATACTGATGAAGAAACTACTTCCTCACATTCCTTCCAAAATGGTTTATAGATAATGAGAAATATTGGAGGAAGACAAACAATGAAGTCAAAGATGAGTTTGATATGAGTCAATAAAAATAGAGAAAAACATACAACTATCCCTCGGGGTTTTGTTCTAAATCAATTGGTGCCTCACTGAGCGAATCTTTTCAAGACAGTCATATGTACTGTTTGGTAAGTCTAGGGTAAATTACAGTCAACTCGTTTATCTGAAAGTTGTAGCTGCCACATGCCATAACGTCCACTCAATACAACTTCAAGGATCACAACCGCATTATTCAACTGTGCAAGTAAGAGGAATCAAATGAAGAAATGTTCGCAGAAACTAGATCTGGTAAATTTAAAAGACATATTAGGGTTTTGTTTGGTTTTAATCTAATCTACCATGTATATATATTTATTCCATGCGCACATCCTCATTATGGGCAGGAAAACCCCAGGGTGGTGAAGAATTATTGCTGTGTCAAAGTACAGGAATACATCCTTGGTTATTATAATGTTTATTGACAGGCACTTTCAGTGTTTAATTCACTTCTGAAAATGGACATTAGCTTATTTTAACTGCCAGTACAGATTCACACAACGCGGGGCCAGATGCACAGCACCTGATGTGTCTGCACGCCACTCTACCTACAAGTGATCTCTAGAACTCAGCAAGAACAAGCACCTTTGCTTTTTTCTTCTTCTTTTTTTGAAGGACCGATTTGGTGAGAGGGGAGATAAGTAAGGAAGGAAATGGCTAGATGGTCCTCTTTAGCACAGGTCAATCCTCTGCTCCCATCTCTTCCCCCTTTTCAGGAAAAAGACACTGTGAGTCTGAAATGAGCTGTCTGTCACTTAAAAGGATGTCACTGTGTTTGAAACCATCCTGACTAACCCACAAGAAGTGACCAGTCCACTGTGACAGGGCACAAACAATGAGTCCTGACAAAGTGCAACGGAGTTCCCGTAGCTGCATCGCTAACTGTGGTTAAGATACAAGGCATAGCTGAACAAGTTTTATTTTTTTATTGTGATGAAAACTAGAAGCTCTTTTTTTCCCCCAACATAGTTCATCAAACTATTTACAACCTCTGTAAAATCTTGAGTTTGAAAATACTTTTTCCAATATCACATGTTACGAATACAGTAAAATAGCGTCACTCTATTTTTTTTAAAAGATGCAGTATCCTTCTATGTCATTTTTTATGAAATTTTGACTTTATATTGCAATTGCTTACTATTTAAAGTACCAATGGACATGGGTTGCTAAACAACATCATTATATAATGAAATTGTGAAAATATAGCATTTTTTTCCTTTTGTATGTACATTTCCCAACTATAAAATGCAGGCAGTCATACATAGTATCACAGGCTGATTCCCTAATAAGGTAAATAACTTATATTTCTAGATAGCATGGGTTATTACAAATCATTTCTTTTTTTAAAAAAAAGGTTCTTTGCTGATACTTCTCAGCCCAGAGGCTGCTGCATATACAGGTGTGGGTCCACATGCGCACGAGTTGCAGGCGTCTGCCAGGGTGAGTGGAAGGCAGTGTGGGGACACGCAGAAATGTGGAATACGGAAGACACAACTCAGCAAGTCACTTTTCTGAACTAAACCAAATGAAATGGAAAGCTTTCTCATGGGACACACTACCTTAGGAAAACTAAAGGAAGAAAAGTTGCTCAGTGATGCTGAGTACACTGCCCTATAAACTTCCCAAGTGCAAATAAAGCCCCACGTCTGAGATTAGATAATGAGCTATGACTATTAAGGCTTCACAGGCCTACCATGGTTCCTAAGAGTTCTCTCCCATTCTGTCCCCTCTGCCCAGAATGTAACAAGGAAGCTTGTCTTCAACGCTGCCAAAATTCGGTCCTTCCTCACTTTAAATGTTGAGGCCTTTCTGGTACCATGATGGCAACACTTCGCAGCAACACAAAGGTGGAGAAATATATGTGAATGTCTCTCTTCTCTAGATTTATTCAAATGTGCCCCTCTGGGAAGTACAGTAAGTCAAACACAGAGAGAAGAATACTGCATCTTTACCCATTCTGGCAAGTTGATGCCAAGCTCAGAATTGTATTTATGCTTCAAACACAAACGGTAATGTGAAGTTAAAAACAAGTCATGTAAAAAGGAACAGGGTTTGCATAAGCTATTCCAAATTTCAGCCATCATGAAAATGACTTTTTTAATCACTTTGCACTGGCATTTGTAAACACTGCAGCATTTTGTAAGCACCCTCCCCATTCCTGCCAAAAAAATCTTCCTATTTTCCACTTATATTTCAAAAGTGAGTAAAAAGTGCTCACTTTTAAGGAAAAATGTGGTTTCTGTTATTCAACTGCTTTTTCCAACAACGTCCTATAGTGTTTTGTGAAAGCGATGGCAGACTGTGGCATCATCTTCACGGTCAAGCCAGTAGATATCTCAGTCAAAATGCCTTAATAGAACTTAAGACAGTCATCAAGCAGAATCCACCCGCCGCTGACACGATGAGGCTGGCAGTGGATGGAGATGCATGAGTCTTCTACCCAGTAAGACCAGGATATGAAAATAGATCCTACTGAACCTCCTGAACTTCTCAAATAACTTAATGCTTTGTGCAATCAGCCACTGGCAACATCAAGAGTAAGTCAGGTAAGCTGCAGCATCTTCCAGCACTATAGCCATGTGTGGCCGAGCTCCCAACTCTATGCCTGTTTCCATGTCAAATGTGAAGCCCAAAGCATTGTACTAGTTAGGGAAAGGTGACAAGTCCTTCAGTATTCAACTCCCTTTCTGCTGCCCATGCTGCACTGTGCTTTTCTATGGAAGCTAGTGATGCATACGAGCTATAATGGAGGCTTCTCTATGCCTGAAGATATTCCATGTCCCTCTATCCTGTGGGGAAACATTTAGGAAACTCATCAGAAAGAACTAGCTATGTGACAACATAAACCCGTTTCATTTCAGTTCTTGGGGCTAGATCAGGGACTCGCTTGCTTGTGCTTAGAACCCTTCTTAAACATATGGCAACATCAAAAGAGGAAGACAGTGGAATGCTGATGGATGTTCCCAGTTACCTTAGCCATCTCCATCTGCTTTCCACTTTCAAACGTGTAGGGGAAGCTCACTTCCCCAAATCTTTCCTACCCTATCAGACAGGTGAACACATTCACTGTTCACCTGTTAAGCCAGTCTGCCGTTCAGGAAGCTTCCAACACCTGTCAGTCCAACGGCTTCTAAAAATCGACACGCAAGACATCACTCAGCAAAGCAGAGTATCAGCTTTTCTTCTGAGAGCGGGCAGAAGGAAATACAACCAGCATTTTACTTGAGTGATTCTGCTACTACCTGTCAATAGGTTCTAGAGCCAGTGCTGGGGAGTTTCCCGGTCCTGTTGTCCCTCTCTGTGTCTGTTCTTTGACAATGACCAGTAACCACCGCTGGCATGCATCATGTGACCTTAATGCTGGCACACTTGCCAGACTTTTTGCTATTCAGAATGGCCACAGACAATAAGAAGTCGAAGGTACACAGAGTACAGATTTAAAAAAAAAAAGTTTCTAGTTGCTAAAACCCCCAACAGTTGGCAGGTAGTAGGTTGGGTAGATGATAAGCTATTTATCAACAGAAACGCAGCCCTTGTTGGAGGAAAATTGCCTGATGAGTTTTTCAGACCTGGAAGAAAATACAGAGTACATATTCTTGAAATCAGAGTTTGACCTAAAAACCATTACATGGTTGCTTGAATGATTTTAAAAGTTTCTTTTCATCACCCTCGCTTCAACATTCAGAGTTCTTCATCAGAATAAGATTATCTGAACGAAAAGATGCTGCTAAAAATGGATGATTCTGTAACAGGTTTCAGAAGGTTGGGACATCTGACACTGAGCTAGTCACATTGTGAGGTTAATTTGTGCCATCTCCCAAATCAAGTGTTTGTAATTAAAATCTATTGCAAAGATCTTTGTTGGAGACCTCATATATTTAAGCTATAAAAATCTCTAACAACACAACAACAATGAATCTCACCAAGACCCTTAAACTTGGCAAAAAAAAAAATAGCTTTTAGTTGGGGGAGAACTATGACAATGTTTCGGAAAGAATGCTCATTGGTGACGTATTGCTTTGTTGAACTAGAAGATGCGTGGGTAGCTGCAAAAAGGCTCGTAAACCTGGGGAACTCATGGGACCAGTTTCTTCATGTCCCCTGCGCAGGGAGAGTGGCTGCATTCCCTCTGCAGATGCTAACTCGGCAGCACTGGGACCCAGTACAACTGAGCAAACGGAATCTGCAGGAAAACCAAGCGAGAGTCCTTCATCCTTGGCTCTCTGAGAACGAAAACTAGCACCACGGCATGCTGTTCGGGCGGGCAGTCTGTTGCCACTGACCGTGTTCCAAAGAGAAGTGACCCATGAACCCCAGAGTTAATGCTTGGCTATGCTCCCCCACTCTCTTGTCACCTGCCTTTCTAATCACCAAGTAACTGTTTCCAAACCAGCCAACAGGAGCAGAACTCTTCCATTGTGGTCCTCTAGCCCAAGCAGAACAACAAGAGGCAGAAAGATTACCTCGGGCAGTGAATGTGAATAAGACATCTACACTGCTGGGTGCTTTTCACGATCCCTTTGGTAAGGATGGACACTGGTAACATGAGTCCTCAGTGAAGTTATTGTAGGAAAAGTCCTTTTATGTGTTATTGCTTTTTCTCCTCAAGAGGTGCATTATTTCCACCTCGGCTTTGAGTTTTCATGGTCGCTGACTTGGCCTGGGCAGTCCCACCTCTTACCTTGGTGCCAGTGTGTCTAAGGAAGTGGTCCCCCTCCCTGACTCCTTGAAACCAAATAGCAGGGCAGGAAGAGGTGATGCCTAGGGTGAGAGAACACTGTGATTTGAAGTGGGGCAATAGTTTGTTTTTTTTTTTTTTTTAAGACAGGCTCTTCCTATTCAACTACAGGACACCTCTGTGCAAGTCCACGCTGGGGCAGGACACCAGGTACTAGACTGGAACCAAAATGTCACTGTCCCTCTGCTTGAACAGATGAACAAAACGGAATCAAAAACAAAACAAAAGCGATCAACGACAAACACATGACACAGTCAATGTTGGTTTTCTTCAGGGCATGGCCATCGGGATGAGCCGCTGGTGATGGGTCACTGTCGCCAACACCTCCCTCCAGGGGCCCCTGCACTGCCAGGAAATGCAACCTCTCCTTCAGCATCTTCGTTCCTACCTCCATGCTATTGGCAGGTATCAGACTGGATGTGTGTTCTAGCTCACCGACAGCAACTGAAACCTTCTGTGGGGAGTGGGGGTGGGGGGCCCTAAGGGTGGGGCCGAGGGAGGATCACCCACTTTGCAAAGGTCTCGCTCTAGTTGTCAATTCGGGGGCAGATGACCTTTCAGGCATCAATCACAAAATGTCTGACAGCTCAGAACATGTACAAGCTACAAACATCTTTAAATGGCAGAGTACACGGCACGGAGAACAACGCGCCTCTTCAGTATCTGGGTCACTGGGCTCCCAGGCCAGCGTGAAGATGAGCCGTGTGCAGTCAGGGTGGGGGTGACCTTCTGGGCAAACACAGAAGGCCCCCTGCTTCTCCTCCCCCAGCTCTGGCTTCAGACATCGTGGGATGGAGATGCCCTTGGCGTGGTAACACTGTGAAGGGGATTCAGCCCTGCTGAATGGGGGTGCTGCCAACAGACCCAGCTCTTACGCTCAGCTGGACGGGCTGCGACAGTTCTCACACCAGCATGTGCCTCCGGCGGTGCAGTGCCAAGTGATCCGACCGCGAGAAGCTGCGATCGCAGTCCGCGCACTTGAACGGCTTCACTCCCGTGTGCTTGCGGTAATGCCTCGTCAGTTCGTCGGAACGCGCAAACTTCCAGGTGCAGCCTTCCCAGGTACACTTGTAGGGCTTCTCACCTGCAAGAAATCAAGGCACACAAGCTCGGGTGCTGCGTCGCTATCACGTTCACCACCCAGCCAGTACCCTGGGTTGGGAAACCTTCCTTCTCAGGGCAACTTCAGCTTGGGAAGTCTTAGGAAAATTTATCACTTCATTGGCACGTTTGGGGTCCGGTTGGAGAGAGGTTTTTTTGATCTCATCTTTCCTGCTGGGACATCTGGCAAGTCAGTTAACTCATTTACGAGCAGGCCACTGTGTGGCCAAAAACATCAAAGTCACAGATTGCCTCTGGGCTTGAGAAGGGAGTGTTAGCATCAGTCACAGAGAATATATATACAAATTCATTACAGGTTAAAGTACCTCACCAGTCCCAGAAATCAAGCACACAGTATTCATAGAAAAAAATCTGCTTTTACTTGTCCATTGGGGAAGAATCAGATTACTTAAGAATGTAAAGTTTATAGCCATTTTCTAGGGTCTTAAGAATTACAATGAGTCCAAAAGAACCAAGTCAGCCCCAGCTCTTCAAGTCATGGTAAAAATCAGTCTGAAGAAGCATGTAATTTGACCAGGTCCCTCAGTCAACTTGTTGTAAAGACAGTAAACTATGCAAAGGCTGGGCTGGGGCAAGATATCCTCCCTATTGTCCAAGGGCACTCCCAGGGAGAGTGGCACAATAGCTGACCCAGGTGCCCCGTTTCCTTGGCTCTCATTCAGAATGGAAGCCCTGTCCCCATGCAACCCCACAAAAACTGGGCTTTTCTCCACCCCTTCCACCCGAGAGTCTACAATGGATTTCTTGGCCACACGTGGCTTCTGGCGGACAAATGTCTGAGACAGAAAGAGAGCTCCCCTTGTTGTCCTGTGCAGTGCGCTGTGAAGTGTGTATCCGGCACTGCACCTTTCAGAGCAGAAACTGAGGGTCAATGCAGTGAAGTGACTATCCAAGGCCAGGAAATACGAGCCCGTGGCTCAGAATCCAGTGCTCCTTAGTATGCCATGTTTGAATTCCTAATTCTAACCCCGTTTAAACTTTGTCATGTCTCCAGAGTTAGGGGTGCTTTATTAAGTACTTCCAAGCAAGTGCCCGAATGAATAGAATCAATCTTTCTCTCTTTGTTTCTCTCTCTCTTACTCACACATAGACACACACATTCCCTAAACCCTGGACATGAGATGTACAGGGGATACCTAGATAGAAAAACTAGACCAAACTGGACACAGTATTTTCCATCCAACTGGTAAATCAGTGTGGGCTAGACGATCCTGTTAGGATCAAGCAGCCCTTTCAGAACGTAGCGAATGGTTCAGGCTCCTCAAACTGAGAAATGCTAATGCATTAATTGTGGCCTGCAGGAAGCTCCAGGCCACCCTGAAACTTTCAAGCATGGCCTGTTGGCTGCATTGACCCAAACAGAACTTCTGCTTCATTCTGATTGTCTGAAGGAGACAAAAATCTGCATTTGCCTATTGTTACTATAAAAAAAGAAAAAAGAAACAAAATTTTCACCTAAAAAGACTGGGAGTTTATCATATGGTAGATGAAGGGCAATTATTGCCATGTTTTTACATGTTACTTATAATCTCTATGATATTTGTATCATGTAAATAAGTCCTAGTAAATGAAGCTAAACAAGTTATCTCTTAAAAAAAAAAAACAGAAAAGGACTTATGTGTGGTGCACTGTGCCGCCTGTCACACAGGGACATCTCCTAGCTGCATCCTGGGTAATTTACGACGAGACCAACTACTGGCAGTACAAGACGTAAGGAGGGAAGAACGAAGGCTGTTTTCAAAGATTGGGGAAAACCACTGGTTTGTCACGAGCTAGGAGAAGGTGTGTTTCTCTCTTGGATGTGGCAGATGGGATTGAAGAAGCTGCTAGACTGGCCTTTGTCATTCCAGGGAACGGAAGAAGGGGCTCTGGACTCTGTTACCAGGATAGAGATGGGGGTCAGCAGGCACTGAGAGCAAGCAAGCACTTCTAGGTTCACCCCCAGAAGGGTACGAGAGGCTGGCAAGATCCACAGAGACAGTTCATTGCTTTAGGGGTTCTCCAACTTTCCTTGGCTGCCTGATTTAGGCAACTGAAATTCTTTCATCTTCCTCAAAATGTAACCAGCCATATTTTCATCCCACCTGTTTCATAACAGTAGCTCTTTGCACTTGAAAATATATACATATGCAATAGGGGGTGGTAATCTGTACTCTCAGGTCATGCTTTTCTTTAAAATGTTTTCTGTATTTCTTTGAAAGACAGAGGTAGAAAGACAGCAAACTCTGTATCTGTCGATTGAATCTAAGTGCCTGGGCAATGGCTGGACCACAGCAAGGGCCAGAGCCGCGAGCTGGGAGCACTACCCAGTCTCTCACATGTGTGGCAAAGATCCAGCTACTCGAGCCAGCATGACTGCCTGCCAGGGTACATGTTGCCAAGAAGCTGGAGAAAGGAGCTGGAGTTGGGCACCATACTCAGTGACTCTGATGGCAGACATTAGCCTCTAGCCCCACCCTCCATTTTCCATTTTTAAAGGTTCACAACAGAAGAAATATTTTAAGTGCACGAAGTGATATGAAATGAATATTTTAGTGTCCATGAGTAAATTTCTACTGGAATGCAGTCCCACTGGTTTACACTGCTTTGGCTGTTTTTCAAGTCACAGCAGGGGAGAGAGCTTATGACAGGGAATGGCTTTCAATGCCTAAGAAATGCACTATGAAGACATTTGCTGAGCCCCAACACAGGGGATGGACACCCCTGCTTCTTGTAGGCTTCCTGAAGGCTAAATGCTCAAATTGGGATGTATTTATCACAAACTGCTAGTCTGGGACAGGTGAATGAGGGGATTATTTGGGGGACGGTAGAATCATTCACTCTCAAATTAAGATCCTTGTTTCTAATTCCACTAGTCTTCTCAACAGTATAAACAGTATTTGATACTTTCAGTGTCAAATAATGTAAGTTGAGAATTTTATTAGATGTCGAATCTAATATATCTTTCAGATCTCTTTTGCATTAAAAATGGAAAAAATGCAGAACAGTGTTTAATGTGCTAATTAAGATATTGCTTTGGATGCCTGCATCCCATAATAGAACCTGGACTTGAGACTCGGTTCTACATCAGATATAGCTTCTTGCTAACACATAACCCAGAAGGTAGCAGATGATGGTTCGAATTCTTGGGTTTCTGTTACCCATGTGGGAGACTTGGAATGAACTGCAGGCCACTGGCTTTAGCTTGGCCCATCTCTGCACTTGCAGGCATCTGGGTAGTGACCCAGCAGATGAAAGACCTCATGTCTCTTTATCTTTAAAAAACAAAAAACTTTATTTTAAAGTACACTGGCATCACCTAAGAGAATAAGGACCAGAGTAGTGTCTGGGATAGGAATGCTTCTGCACAGTGTACCTGGTAACCAAATGCAAAATTCTATGTAAGGATGACATTGCATTCCAAGTCCTTTAAATACGGTTGCATTACAAGGGTCAGCCCACTGTGCATGATGAGGAGTTGCTAGTCTATAGGTTGGGCAGGGGCATACAACCTGACAGGGAGCAATAAGCAGGAGGGTCAATGTTTGGCATCATTTGTAAGAGGGATATTTTAGAGGAAGGTGAAGGTGGGGAGAGCACCTGCTGATAGCAATGGTCAATGAATCCACAAAAGTGGAGTAGGGAAAGAGTGCAGATTTTGAGAATTAGTCTGTGAGGTGTGAGCATGTGCAGTCAGCAATCATGAAGGCAGGGATAGGCCTGAGAAATAAAAGAAGCAGATACTTAGCAACTTCCTGAGTAGACCTAACTAACGTGGGTGATAAGCTTATCGGTTAGGGGGAGCAAGCAAGTAATGAAGGTCTGTAATAGAAGATGTGTTGAGGGGCTGAAGGGGATGGCTGAAGCAGGTGACTTCCTGCCAGCTGCATGGCAGACCTGGCTGCATTCCGGGACCCTAATATTTGAGGAGTGGGTCAGTGGAGGACAGCACTCTATCACACCGCCTTTCTCCCCCTTCTAAATGAATGAATGAGTCACATGCTTGGTTTCTGAAAAACACAAACATGCTATGGATAATATTCCTAACATACTTATACTTATGAGTGTAATTGGAGTTTAAAAATTCTTTATCTCCAAAACAAAAACAAAAACATACCGGGGCAGTCATGGCACAGGAGGTTGTGTTTCACCTTGGGAGGCCCACAGCCCATTTCGAGCGTCCCAGTGTATGCCCTGGCTCCTCCTGCTTCCTGCTAACTCATCTGGAAGTGGTAGGGGACAGTTGAAGCACTGGAACCCTTCTACACATAACTGAGACCCGGTTGGCATGTCAGGCTCCAGGTTTTGTCCTGGCTTGAGCCCTGGGTATTGTGGGCAATTGGGGGGTAGACCAGATGATGAAAGATTTCTCTTTCTCATTCTTTCAGTCTGCCTTTCAAGTAAATGAAAAAAAGAAAATCAAAAAGGGACTCTGTGCCCTTCTAATATCATCACATTTGCCTGCAGATTTAGAGACTGCACAATCAAGGAAGAAAGACAGGAAACGGCTGCTGTGGCCAGGCAGGGGCCTTAAGCCCCTCATTCAGAACAGACCTAGGGTTAATTATATCTGCCCAACATTTAGCATTTCATTAAAAAAAATCAATAAGTGATTTTTTTGGACTAATCAAGTTTTAGAAATGGTTGCAAAAACCTTTAGAAGCTACGCATTGTGTTTAACTGCACGCTGCGTCTTTTGCTTCAAAGCAATCGAAAGAATACAATCTTTTAAACACATTAAGATAATAGAAACTACATGATGTGAGTAAAAAACTAATTAAAATGATAAATGTTTGGAGCAGACACAATAGTGAGTGTGAACCAGCCCTGAGGGGCTATCATGAAGAATGGAATCTTTGGTCTAGCTTGTCTTCCCTTGAAAACTGAGCTAGAAAATACAAAGTTAAATTTCATTGTTTCAAAGTCAGTGTCATGGTCAGAGCGGGAGGTGAGTGCTCCTGGAACGGAGACTCTTTAGGAGGA